CGTTGCTTGATCTGTGCAGATTTCTCTCCTGATTCAGACCAGATGACTTTTTCACTGTATAATACAATATTATGGATATTATGGAGGACTCATATTGTAGCCGGAAGGTTTGAAGTGAAAATGTCTTGATGGATTTGTTTCAGCTTTTGTCTTCTCCAGATGTTATCTGATGTACTGGAGTGGTGTGGATTACTTGTGGATGTTTTTATCAGCTGTTTGAACTCTCATTCTGACGGCACCCATTCACTGCAGAGCATCCATTGCTGAGACACTGATGCAGTGCTACATTTCTCCAAATCTGATGAAGACACAAACTCATCCTAATCTTGGATGGCCTGAGGATGAGCACATTTTTAACAAAAAAATCATTTTTGGCTGAACTATTCCTCAAGTGTCTTAAATGCTTCTCGAGTCACTGTACACACTTCTCCTGTTCCACACAGACGTCTGCTGTAATACTACTGACAGAACCAGGCTCTATGTGTTTCCCTGACCTGAGAAGACCTGATACAGAGAGTTGTTTTTAAATCCAGTGGCTTCTTATCTGCAAAGCAGACTGTAAAACTGGTGTGAAGATGTGTGTTTGCTGACTGATTACTGTACCGCAAGCACATGACCTCATCCTGACCTTGTTTTTGGAGAGGGGGGTTTTCTGAAGGAATATTCTGGATTGATGTACAGCGTCTGTGACATGCTGTCGACTGCCAGAGAAAATCTTTTCTACTCGCTTCTCACAGCCGAGGTATTTTCTGTGGTAATCGACAGCGTGAATGTTGAATATAATGACAGAATATTTCCCTGAACAGTTCAGTAACCTCAGATGTTTCCGCTTTCAGATCATTCCCACAAGTGTGTTTTTTTTTTAAAGTGCATAATATTTTTCTCCATGTTGTCTTAATCCACTTTTAAAACGTACTACTATTGCATAGCACAACGCTAGAGTCCCTGTAAATAACGAGTGTAGAATGTATTTCCTGCATTTATCAGAGATTCAATGAACGGTAGATTTCCTTCAGTTAGTTCTTTAAAAATGCACATCTTGCGTTCTGTTGCATCACTTTTTTTTATCGTACAATGTTTTGATTTCCTAGATATTTCATAAATAAAGAAAAAGCAAAGTAGATTTATTTATCTAAACGTGAAAAGTTTAAAGTTATTTAATGTATGAAAAGTCGGGACGTATCATTTAACCGTAGATTTGTGTAATCTGCTTTTTCAATAAAGTGGTTTTTGTAGTTAACTTAAACTGTTACAGTGATTTTATTTTTAATTTCTTTTAATTTAATTTAATTTTTAATTTTTTAGAATCTGGGTTTTTATACAAAATGACATCCCTGCAATAAAAAACAATACTGATTTTCACGTTCGATTCATTTAAATAAAATATTTCATGAATCAAATAATGTAGTAATAATAATAAATTAATAATAAATAAATAAATAACATTTGAATGTGTCATTCTACGCATTTCTCTAAACACAACCAAATCAGAATGAATAATTTATTTTTCTTAACAAAGATTTGTTTTTGTATTCCCCACTTCTCTTTGCTGTATTGGCCAAATCTATTAAAATATATATATATTTGTTTATTGGAGGGGATGGATACGACTGCCACTATTGTTGAATCAAGACTATCAGACGTTTTTTTCTTTTCTTTTTTCTTTCGAACATGTATTTCATAGACATATTGAATCTAGAGCTGTCCAGAGAACACAAACATCACAGATGGTTTTAATTGTGTAACATTTAGAATTTTTCCCCCCTGTTGTTTTATTTAAATGAGCTTCCCTACAGCATGACATCACATCCTGTTGTCCATACGGAGGTCTGAAGGGATTTTCCACACCAGGGTGAGACTTTTAAACTCCGTTCTCATCACCTTGTCCGAGGTTTTCTGTTTCCAGCAGTTTCCAGTATAGATGTGGTTTTCCTGTGGCATGTGAAGGGTCTGTGTGTTTATTCGGCGGTGATATCGGCTCAAATCAGCGCGTGTGCATTTATACTGTAATCACGCTGCTGCACGCAAACACTCGCCGCACCCTGATGTCTGATACAGCTCCCACAGGAACAAACTATACTCTCAGTTACAACTGAGTTCTCAGTCAGTTGTGTTGCATTTAAATACCCACTTAAAATTAGTAAGTCAATGCTGTGAAATGCTGCGTAGCTAAAATCAAATGTCTTTTTATCTGAAAGGCAAAACACTGTAAAGATGCTCTTGCACCGTGAAATCGTCATGATTCGTTTATCTGAAGTAATCGTAATGAGTTTCTTGACCTCTATAAAGCAGCTCCCAGCGTCAAATTTTCAGATTAGTGCATCACACACACTCAAACACACACAGACTGAATCTTAGGTCGTAAAGAACAACTTCTCTTAATCTCTGGCCTTTAATTCTAATCTGTGTAAATCTGGGTTTCTATCAGTATGCAGCCAAAACTGAATAAATCTATGAAACATATTTGACACATTTGACTATTTTGAAGTGTCACACACCTCATATGTCAAGAAAACACTCGAACAAATTTAAATATTCAGTGATTGTAAAAGGCTAATGATTGTGATTTTACATGTTTTTTAGTAGAATTCTTTTTGGTATTGAGCTACCAGGTGAATTGTTTTCTATTGGACCCAGCCTGTGATAATTAGCTGATTTAAGTCATATATTGAAGTCTGCAGTATGTGTGCATGAAGTCTATAATCACGTTTATGACAGACAGTAAAACAGCTCACCAGACGGTGTGTAAATGATGTGATATAGCTATTGTT